TGCTATTTAAATCCCTATTTTACTGTAGTTGGCTCATCATGTTCCTCTGCTCATTAGGCTGGCAGCACAAGCTCAGCAGCATTTGCACTTCAGCATGAGAATTTCTGCTGTGAGGTACGACTGTCATCCACTTGCCTGGACATGTTGTTCTTAAAAATAGCTTCATCCTTGTTTTCTCTCTCTCTAAAATAACAGGCACTCTCTCTACCTGAACCTTGATCACCAAATTCCCTTCTCAGATCATCACAACCACTCCCTCAGTGTCCTCTTTTGTACATAAATTATTACTGCTAAAATTCTTTCTTGTCAAGCCACCAGCCCACCTCAAACCTTCCACTGAGTTCCTTCCTCCTCAGGTCTCTGAAGGTCAGAGGACAAGCACTGCTTACCCCACACACATACTGGGCTTCCTGGAATGAACAGCTTAACCACAGCCTGTCACTGACATGGAATGGTCACAGCTGGCTGTGGAACTGGATGAGAACATGTAAGCTGGGTGTGCAAGATGTGGTATTCCCTACTCATGACTAGAGCATGCCTACAAGGGAAAATCCCACTTCAGAATAACTTATTCTCTCTGGAGCAGGTTCATCCTGCAATTCATAAGGAGAGGAAGCAACTATAACAGCTCCCCATATTCAGGGATCTCAGTGCAAGATGTAGGCAATCTGGGGCTGGGTGTTTGCCTATACCAACAGAGAAACCACAATAAGTGATGCAGCACTGCAGCAGCGTGGATGTCATCTTCCTGTCCTCATCTCATACTTTTAGGCTCCACCATATCCCATATCCACACCCACAATGCCTGAAACACCTCTACTGCACAGAAAAATGTAGAAGCAGATGAGAGGCAGTGCTTCTCTCAGCATGGGGGAGAGGCTTTCTGGGTTGAGATGCTGACTGCAGCTGTGCACTACTGCTGGCTCCCTTCATCCTCTTGGACAATCTAAGTAAACCAGAAAGATTGTACATCCTCACAGCTACAAGGGGGAATTGGGACTTCATTATCTTGTGGAATTGGTGATGAAACACAGTATCTCTACACATCCCAGGGCTGCTGAGCACAGTACATACCAAAGCCTTGCTAACTGTTTATTATTAAGATCTAAAAATCAGTCGTGTGCCTTTGTAAGTCCTGTTCTCGGTTGATGAGAGAAGGCCCCCGAGGGAAGAGAAAACATTTTCTAGGGAAGAAGCTTTTAACATCAGAAGGCAGGAAACCAAACAGCGCTCCTTGTGCCTCTGCTTTGCATACCCGGTGCAGCATTTGCCCTGTGCAAGCATGGTGGAAAGAGCAGGCCCCAAGTGGGTAGGGAATGCTGGGCAGCTGCTCACTGCCACAGAGCAGGCAGCAGCACCAGGGAGAGGAGAGGACAAGTTCTTGCAGCCATCCTAGCCCATAGATCACCCTCCACCCAAACTGTGGGGGAAAAAATTGTGGAAACAAGCTCCATACCAAAATTTTAGCTACCCAGTTATAATTTAATCTCCCTTGTGAGCGAGGCGGTGTCCTTTGAAGTTCTCAGCAGTGCATGGTTGCATAGTCTGGGCCAGCAGGTGAGAATGTACAGCCCCCAAGAATCTGTTGATTTGTGCCCTGTGCCCTGCCAAGGGAAAGGATGTTCCTGTGCCTCCAGACACGTAACTCCTCGAGATGAGAGCAAACAGGCCCTTACTGAATACTTTGGGCACTGTTTCTTATCACCTGGCATCCTGAAATATAATTTCTAAATCTGAGAAAAGCAGCTACCAAACCATCTCTTTCTGATTTGGTAATGATTTAAATACTCAATTCAAGCATAAATGGCTACAGCTTATTTAAGTGATCTGACAATCTTGCTTGTGTAAACTCTTCAAGGAGAACAACTTCTAGTGGCTCCAAAAACAACTTCAGTTTACATATGCCCTTTTTTAACTCTCTCTAATGGTATTTAATTTTTTGTCAAAATCAAAAGAGTCAGGCCAGGAGTTTCCGTGCTGTATCCAGAAAGGTGGAATATCTGACCATTTCACAATGCTTAATCAGTGTCCTCCTGGCATCCACTGTGGATCCAATGGTTCCGTAGTTTCACCACAGCACATCTGCACATCTTGCAGAATGGGCACTGAGCAATGCAGAAGCGCCAGCAAAGTGCTGCAATGCGTGAAGGGATCTGAATGTATAATGTATTACACTGTGTTTTGATGGATTCTCTTGTTCAAATGGATGCAATAGTTTCTCTGGCTCAGCTCTGGGACCTGAATTCATGGACGAGCATTGTCCGTGCTGTCCAGTGCCACCACACAGGGTTCCCTGAAGCTGTAGTTAAGATTTAGCCACTAAGAAGTGCACTGCTATTATGCAAAGCCTTCCAAGTCCCTAGCTAGGTGAAAATACTCTTTAGTTCTATGACTGTATCAAATCAGGGTTGCTATGAAATGTGAGACTGAATGATGGCAGGAGTGTATATCTACAATTGCTTCCTTGCTGAGAGACAAATCAGGAAAACATGGCTGTGACAGATTCAAGAGAAGGACCAGGTCAGAGGAGACCACAAGAGGTAGAGGGATCCTTTCTCAATTGTCACCTCACTCCACAAGTGAAAGAATTAAAATCTTTACTTGGAATATTTTCCTTTGGTTTCTGGTTGCATTTCTTTAGAAGGCAGATCTAATGAAAACACAGGAGACACTGTTCTTTGTGGCCACAAGGTTAATAAGAGTGGAACACAGGAGCAGCAGGAGCTGCAGGAAGAATAATTCCTTTTAAAGCTGGAGATAGGAAGCCTATAGGTGGTAAGTGTGACATTTCCGCATGGAGGAGTCCAGCTTAATTACCTACAATTCAAATGTAGAAAGTTATACATTAAGGCAGGCAAAAAGAAAGTGGTAGGAGAGGACACACTTTGGCCGCTCATGAAGATTTAACATCATTAACTCTCCAGCTTCCAAGAATGTTCCTGTATTTTCGCTGGCCAAATACCAGTACAGCTAATTGCATTTGTGTTACCTGCAGTTCAATGAGAAATAGTCTCTTTCTTATTGCCTGCACTGTTGTGTGGTACAGGAACACACAGCAATACCAAGCAGAGTGGCTCTACTTCATTTGTAGGTAAAACAGTTCCTGTGTGCATTAAGCTTGGCTCAGCAAGACACACAGACAACACCAATGGGCAGGAGCTGCTGTTATTCAGATGGCAGTCAGCTCTGGCATGATGACAGGGACAGCATCCACAGGTGCTAAGTGCCTGAAAGTTATTTGGCAGAGCTTGCATTACTGAGTAGTGCTGGTAATCATAATATCTGGCCAACTGAATATGAGTCACCTATTCACCTACTCAGTATTTGTGTATGCTACCAATAGACATATGGTTTACAGCAAACTAGGGAACAGACACTGCTGCACACTCATTTCTTCATCTTTCCCAGCATTCGCTGATGAATTCTCAGTTGAGACTAACACAAGCCAAACTTCCTTTCCAATATACCACTAAAAGGGCTATATTCTGACAGCTGTTGTTATTGCCTTAATCTCTTCTCTGTTGCTCATGACTGATAAAATGAGGAAGTAGTGGCCAACTCTGAGTTACCAGGCTCCCAAAGTCAGAAAAACTGAGAGGACCAAGATTGGGTTGCCAGATGCATTTTCTTGTGCAATGAAGTCAGTGTAAGAGCCTCCCATCACCTTGTCCTCCTGTCTCAATGCTATTTGCATCTGTTCAGTTGTGCCAATACATGTGATTGTGAGGCCACAGAAACTAAGATAAGTACAATTAGTTTAAAAGTCCTGTAACAAAATAGCATCATTTCCCCAAACTGACTGACAGGATCCCACTCCTCCAGCACTGATGCTCACACAGCAGAAAGGAGGGTTTCATCAGGAAAGCTCTTTCCCTTGGGTTTACACCTGATAAGACTAAGTGGGGAACCATTGTCCAGCCTGGGCTTAGTCCATAAAGTAGTTTCTTCTATTATAGACATCAAGAGAGAAAGCAAAGGGAGAAAATCAACATCCACATGTGGATGTCAAAGAAAGCAAAACATTACATGGAGTCACCTAACACTTTGTTTGCAGGGCAGCATTTGGCTGAAGTCCTTGTGAGATGGGTCCCCTGCTGAGCAAATGAGGGCCAACTGGCCCACCCCTCCCATCCCTCCTGCACTTCTGCTGCTGGACACAAAGAACCTGCAGTAAGAGACACTGTATACCCATTACATTCACTATGTACAGCTCCTCAGCTGCACCAGGACAGTCACTGCCTGAAAACTGCCAAGAATCAAATCTGACCAAACCTGCTTCCTTTGCCCTGCAATGTGACAGTAAAGACTGTTCCTGCTTGTGTCTGCTCTGAGCACCTCCTTCCATCACCACCTCCCAGCTGTTCAGAGACCAGGGCTGGGGGACTACTTTGACCCTCCCATGTCACTGTATTTGCAGGCTGGCAAAACCTTCTGTAAACAATGTGGCCAGATGATCTCATAGACAGAGCAGCAACGGTGCTGAAACACCAGCCTGAGATGCAAAGGACAGGGGTCCTAGTGTAGAGGTGACTCACAGGTGTGACTGGGAGCACTCAGGAGAGAACCCTTCCCTTCGAGCTGAACCAAGAAGCCACGTCCACAGCATTAACAGGGTGAAGGTCCAGAAGGGCTCCAGGTTTTTGCCTTTAAATACTCCCTACTGTTACAAGCAAAAAAGCTGTCTTCCCCCTTTGTCTTTGCCCTCAAGCAAGAGTATTGAGGCAAGAATGCAAAGGTGAAATATTCAGAAGTTGACATCTCTGAAGCAATTGAGGATGGAAATCTCTGATCACCATTTCTCACATCAATCTTCATGCATTGGTCGAAGGTGATTAAAGTGGCAGATGTGGAGGGGCAAAAATTTCAAGATTTGGAGTTTTATTATGGAAAGGCTGTGAGTCTCTTCATAGCCAAGGTTGTAATCAGTTTCCACTCTCAGTTCTAACTTAAATAACTCTTCATATGCATTCCTCTAACTTCAGCTCATAATTGCAGGGTTTCGTACTGAAGCTAAAAAGAATGTTTTCCCCCCTTCCCTCCTCCTCACTGCAATTTGAAGAATTTGGACCTGTAATTCAAAGAGGTAGGCAATGCGAGACTGAACCTTTGCCAGACTAAATGTTTCCTTAGCTTCTTTCACTTGAGAAAACAAAGCTAAACAAGCCCCCACCAAAAAACAGGGTTTTTTTCATCTCCCTAAATTACTCAACATTCAAATCTCTTTGAAAATATATGCATAGGCAACAGTTGCAGAAAATAAGGTGCAAGTCACAAAGTCATAAACAACCAATGTAGTTAACTGTAATAAACTCGGCATTTATGTATTTGGTATTCTGCTAGCCAAGGCTATCTGGAAAACATTCCAAAAGCTGAAATCACACCATCAAGGAGTTTTTCTGATTTTAGACAAAACAAAAAACTCCTAAAACACAGAAGACTGTTTTCCATTGAAGACATGGAAAATCATCAAAACATTTTCACACTTTCCACTTGCTCTGGAAGTAGCAAATTGTTGCATACAGAAAACACAAAATTCTTCCTATGCTGTACTAAAGCAGATTAGGCTTTCCATTACTTTGGCTCTGTTTTTTATTTCTAGAGGTTAACGTTTTGGCCCCAATTATATGTGGAACCTAGTATTTTTGCTATTTACATAAACCTCCTGTTTGCACTGGATTCAATATAAAATACAATTCAGCCATTTAGTTTGTTCCTATGAAAGTGTCTCCACAAAAGTTTAAAAAGTATCCATTTCTGCAAGTTTTAAATCTCCCATTTTTTCATACCAATTTCTGTTTTCAAATTTCTGCAGGTGGCCAATTAACAAATCTTTTTTAAAAATCATTAAAAAGACAGAAATCAAGTGCATTTGCTGTAGCAAAGAACATCATGTAGCAAAGAGCTGCATATCTCCCGTCTGTCCCTGACAGGCGTTCTGTAAGCCTTGAAGACACTTTGGTTCTTGGCAATTCATTACCATTGGCAGGGAAAATTCTTATAAGAAATAGGGAACTAGTCCAGGTGCCCAAGCTGCAAGAGTGCAGAGCAGGGCAAGGGAGCAGCGCAGTCAAAGGTACCCAGAGTGGAAAGGTGACAGGGCCAAACAGGGCTCTTAAGCTGCTCATGCATTAGCTTGTAGAGTACCAGCAGAATTATGGGCCCCACATAAAGAAATTAAACCTTGCACAAGCTTCATTAACTTGAATTTAAAGATTACCATGACTTGCATCTGTAAATAGTTATGCACACGTGTAGTTTGAGTCACACGTAGTTCTTCTGATGCCAGTAAGGATTCACAAACTTCATACAACTTACATATGTGTACAGAAACCTCTGGACACTGCACTTAAACCTCCCTTCTAGGCATCTAACAGCCAATAAATACATAAGGGAAAAGGGAAGCCAATATATCTTGTTGTATGAGCTCCGACAAAATAAGAGCTGACTTACTAAACACCCTGGTGCCTCTTCCAGAACACCCTTAATTCGGCCTGCTTGGTGGGCAGTGACTGCCCATTTCTGAAAGATGCACTGCTAACAACCACAATCAGACATTCAAAAAGTCACTGTCTACAGGAAAAGGAATCCACGGAAGACATGACATTTTTACATCATTCCTTCATCCAGACAATTTAATCTAGCATGTAAGTAATGTACTGGTCTGTTTTGATGAAATGGACACTCTGACCCTTTCTTTACACTTGCAGATTGATTGATTGTTTGTACCGGAACAATTATTCCTAAGCAAACAGGCAAAAAGGAAAACAAACCTTTTGGCCACAACATTTAATTTCTGCTAGCAACATTTCACAGCTGTTACTTCCCTGTTTGCTCAAAGGAACTTACATTTTGCTTTGTAAAATGCTTTATGCTCCCATCCTCATTTCCATACTCCGCTGTAGGTAAAAACCTATTTCCTTTGAGTTCTTTAATTGAAATACATCTAATTCCACAGGCGCTTTCCAAGATTTGTTTACAGCAGAACTAGCCACTTAAAAAGCAACAATGTTTTTTAAAGGAACATATTCCCTTATTCATAATGCAAACAACTCCTCAGATTATTGTCAAGAGAAGTATTCTCAAATATGTCTGTCTTCTACCCTATCCCTAATAGCCTTTTGTGCTCCTCTCAGGCTGGACAATGAAAATCAGTGCAGCCATTTTCCTTTTCCTCTCCAGTGAATTTAAGTATCAGGTGACAGGGAAGCAGTTTTTGTTTTAAGAAAACCCTTTGCCCTGGAACTTTTACCAAAAAACGAACTACTTACTGCGAATTACTTGCTCTTGGTTTGTATGGGGGAAAAAAAAACAAAACAACAAACCAACCACCACCTTTCCTTTTTTTGTTTTTTTTTTTTTTCCTTTTTAAACAAAGCAAAAATTCATCAGCCAAACAGGAATTGACAGCATTCCTTTAAAAAGCAAAATAAAGCTCGCCCCAGCTGGGCACTCACCAGGCTGCTATATTTATTTGTGTCTCACGTGCTGGGCACATGTGCAATTCAGCTTCTCTTGATCTGAACAGGCTTGCTGTACTCTGTCTTTCCAAGTCCCTGCGGCACACTTCAGCTTTTCTCTGCCTCCCACTCTGTGTCACCCCTGTGCCACAGCGGAGCACAGCTGATCCAAGTGCCCAAGAGCAGCTCAGACTCCAGCACTGGCTCCAGCCCTGAACTCTGACAAAGCTCAAGCCCATCCTTGCCCCAGACCTCCAGAACTGCAAGCAAAGGCTGGAAATTGATACTCACCCTTCCAGAAATGCATCCTAAGGAAAATTCATAGGCCCTACAGAGGTTTCCCCTATCAATCATTCTTTACTTTGGCTGACATAAGAAACTGAAAAATCTATAAGAATACTAAAAAGCACTTTCAATTGTACTCTGATTCTTTTTCCTCATCACTTGGAGATATTCTTGGGATGAGTCTGCTAGGTAGCCACATAGCTCATAAAGGCAAAACACAACTGTTTTTTTCTTTTGAGGAGCTAAATTTTGTCCCCCTACCTGGTTTCACAACAGAAACTGATACCTCCATTATTAAAATATGCATTTGTGCTCCTCCCTATGACCAGGCTTGTTCTGGTTCTTCATTCTCTCTAAAGTCTCTGGCTCAGGAGTAAGGAAGAGGGCTATTGCGTGGACTTAAAATGCCCCACCTCTGTCCAAGTGCACAGAGACTTGAGGTGCTCCTAACAAGCTCCTATAGCTCTGCACTTTGCAGCTTGGATTTTAAGATGAATAGTCACAAATCTCCATGTTCCTTAAAACACCAGAACACAAACCATAATTGCTGATGATCTACTCCTTGGGAAGCTCAATTCTCCATGGGTGGGACGGGCAGTTAGAGCCTTTTAGGATGATCTGCATGATCTGCAGTTGGAGCCTTTTAGGATGTGCAGCATGACTTTGTATTACTTCGTGATATATTTATTCTTCCTCCTCTGAAGAATATATTCATCAGCTGTGTGTGTGGCTGTCCATCTGCCCTCCCCCTCTCCCAATCTCAGGTTATCCCCATTTGAAGTAGACACACCAAGATTTAATGAGCTTTCCTTATTACATCAATGCATTCGTAACAGCTTCTGAACACCTGCCAAATTTATGACTGCTTCTCCAAATCAGCACAGAGCATTTCCATTTGCCTTGTTTTAATTAAAGTACACCATCACCTACAAACTAAGGGCATGTTTCTGAAACAGAAAATGAAACAATGGGTCTCCTTGGTTTGCCTATATCAACTTTTTAACAGACTTAATTCTTATCAGCATCAGACAAGAAATTCAACTCCAGTACATTGTTCCTACTAAAAGCACTGCCCTGAACAAGGAATGATGCAATTTAAAGGGAAGAGAGAAAAGAGAGAACTGGTGGGGGAGTTCATTACGTCACTTGGGGCTCAGTTCAGCTCCTCCTGGAGAGGGTTTTTGTTTGCTTGTTTCATTACCATTTATATGCAGGTCATCTGAGTGTGCGGGGGGGGGGGGGGGTAAGATTTCTACTAAAAATCCTTTTTTGACAATTGCTTTGTAGTTTCAGCATTTGCAAACTGCTAAACAAATTAAGAACAGAATCAGAAAAAGAATTAGGTCTTCAGCAGTCATCTGACATCCTATTTTAAGCCTGTTTCTGATGACATGCCCTCTGACATTTTTTATAATGTCAGTGACTTTTAAAATTAGAGTTCAATCAACTAATTTTCAGTGCTCTTGTGCATTAGATTTCAACAAGATGAGTCTACTAAAGTAGTTTTAATCTCTGTTTTGTTTTTGGTTGTTTTTTTTTGTTGTTGTTCTTGTGCAATAAAGTGGCAAAGTGAATGAAAGGACACTTTGCCATCTGAAAAACTTCACCTTCAGGTACCTATAGACAGCAACCCAGTGAATCTTGTTCATTTCATGCTAGGTAAAAACCTCTTAGTCAAGGCTTCACATGGTCTGTCTTTTGGGGAGGGTTTTATTCCTTTGTTTATCTATCTCATAAGGCAAACATCTGTTCAAAATAAGGTAAACTCCAGTTGAAACTTTAACTACAGAAGAGCTACATTCAATTCAGAATAACTTCAGTTCAAAGAATCCATTCAGCAGAGCCCTTGCACAAATTATTCACCACAGGCAGAAAACTACAAGTAGAAAACTAAAAATGACAAATTCGTTTTACAGAAGTAAGCAAATGTTAAAATTTGCATTGTAACACAAGTAACTTTAAGACTGAAATGTAAAAAAAGTTTCCATATAAAACAACATGGAAGCAAAAATAGGCACTTGTTATATTTCGTGCATTTATAATTTACTCTTTTTGTACAGTTGTGGCAATGGAACTGGATATTCAAAAAAGAAATTAAAAGAAAAATGCAAAATTGAAGACACTCTAGAAGCCAATTCTGTTATGGAACAGATCTTAATACGAACTTGCATCAACTCCAGGAGTGACGAGGTCTGACACAGACAGTCAGGTTGTTACTGGTTCTGACAGGTAAATCAAAGCAGAGATGCAAGAAGTGGGTTGTTCAACTTCAACCAGCATTAAATGAGGAAAAAAAAAAAGCAAAGCATCCATGAAGTTCATCCAATGTGAGGCAAGCCCAAAGGAATTCAAAAGCCCAAGTAAACAAAACTGCTAACCAGTGACCCAGTGGGAGAAGGGTGGTTATGCAGCAACTCTGATCCTCTGCCTCTGCAGCTCAACTAGTGCTTACCAGCTTTGCTGTTGTACATACATAAACTCAGGGACAGATGAGGAGGAGAAGGAAAAAATGAGAAACGCCATTACAGCAGCAAAAGCTCTGGAGCTGCAGATCCAAAGAAAGAATCTCTTTGGTGATACAAGTTTGCTTAATAACTGGAACCAGGGTGAACTGGGACTATGAAAGCAGAGGGCAACTTTGGTGACAGTGAACAAGCAACAATACAGCTCAAAACCCATACAAAGAGTAAGAAGTAAAACAAGAACATAAAAGTAAGAAGCTTTAATGAGGCAGACAGGAATACACACAGGAAACAAGTAGGGAGGCTCTGATGGAAGTGATTCTAAAGGACACAAGGAAAGCTGGCAATTTCTGAAAGAAACAACACTCGGAGACCCAAGGCAAAGTGTCCATTTGCAGGAAGGCAGGATGGAAGGGAGCAGGACCTGACTAAATCATGAGCACTTTCTCGAGCTCATATGAAGGGAGCATGGACCCTAGGCCCAGTTGCTGCAGGGAGGAAGTGTAAAAGGTTGCAGGGATTCAACTGAAAAGTTGTAAGCATTCTCTTCATTCACCATCAGTGAGAAGAACAAAAAGAAAGGGTTAATCGCAAAGGGACAGATGATAGTCTAAACACTGAATAATTTCTGGAGGCCAGTTCATTAGGTAGATCAAGTGCAAGCATTTAACACTATGTTATTAATGCTAATGGCATGAGAGCCCAGGCTATGAAAGTCAAGAAAAAATCCCAGAGGAATGTGTATTCAAGCTGGCTGGTCCTGACAAACTTCTTTCTTTGAATACTTAAGAGAACCGGCTGAAGCAAGTCCAGTTCATGGAGAACATGAATCATAGAGAACAGAAAAGACTTAAGAAGTCTGGAAAGGGGAAATATGGTGCCTAGCTTTAAAAGATTATGCTAGGGAATTACAGACCACTCAGTTTAACTTCCATTCCAAAAAAAAATATTGAAACAAATAATCGAACTATATGTAAGAAGCTAAAAGGATAAGTACGAAGAGATGAGTAACAGACCCTCTTGAATTATCAGAAGGAAATTGTGTCAAGCCAATTTAATTTCTTTGTGTGACAGGTAATGGGCCTTGGGCAAAGGTGACAAGCAATAGATACCATATATCTTGACTTTTAGTAGGATTTGTGACACTGGTGCCTGTGATATTCTCTTCAGCAATCTCAGAAAACATAGACTAGTACATCAAGGGTAGGTATAAAACCAGTGGCACAGCCTTACTCAGAGGGCAGCTCTCAGTGGTTTCTGTCAACCAGGGAAGCTGCACTGAGTAGGATGCTGCAGGGGTGTCTCCAAGGACAAATATGCTGAACATTATCCTCTAAGTGAACAATGGTGTGGAGTAGAGATCTGGCTTATAAATCATGTAGATGATACCTGAATTCTAAAAATTGAAAGCTAACACAAGCATTTGAACAGATCTTTACAATGTGGAGAAACTCTCTTAAAAATTAAATTAATTCAACAAAGATCAATTAAAGCCTTTAACAAGAAGAAACAACCACATGGGAAGAAGATAAGGGAACGACTAAATAGTCAGAAATTCTTCAAATAGAAACTAATTGCAGTGGGCAGAATGTAGTGATTTGCCAGCTGGACTTATATGAGCAGTATTATAACATTGAAAAAATGACAAATATGGACACATAAGAAAATATCTGGACTCATGATATCATCTTTCCACTCTACCAAGTGGCTTCAGATGGAATACTGTGTTGGGCACGACACTGTTGGGCATGACACTTTAAGAAAGATGTGGACCCAATAAAAGAAAGTCTAGAGGAGAACAAACAAGAACAGTTACAACCCTAGAAAACATCTCTTTTGGGGTAAATCAAAAGTTAGCAGAAGGGAAGACTGGGTGAAGCATGATAAGAATTTTTATGTATATAAAAGATTTCTTACAAAAGGGAAGAATCATTTGTTGTTCATGTCTACTGCAGACAGAGCAAGGAGAAACTGTCTTAAATTTCAGAAAGAAAGATCCATGCTAACTAGCAAGCAGAATGAAAGCCCTGTTGGTAAGCATGGTAAAGTACTAGAAAATCTGCTTGGGAGGAGCATAGGCTTTTCAGTACTGGACAGTTTTCAAACAAATCTATGGCAGAAATAACAGATGTACAGGTGACTATGCATCAAGGTAGAGAGATTGGCTTGTGATGTTTTTAGAACCCTTTCAGTTCTAATTTTAAGACTCTTTGAAAACATTCGGGTAAAAGCACTTTGAATGCTGGCATCAACCTTGCTTCCCCCTAAAAAATAATGTTTAAAAGATGTAATCAAAAAAGGAACAAACCTTTCAGGTGTGTTTCTTGAAATGTGTGTTCACTGTCACTACTCTGCAAGATGAAATCACCAAAACTTTGCCTTCCGAACTTCACTGAGAGATTGTGTCATAGCAAGGGTTATACTGGCATAATTAGTATTCAAATAGTATTTATCAGAGAAAAATAAAACTTTTATTGTGACTGTATATATAAAGCCTGTTAACACTTGCTCTTATAAAGTCCCAAGCATCTGGGCAACATATTCCTAGAGAGAAGGCATAAGCTGATTTAAGTAAAACAAGAGAGACTGTGTGGGACTTATATTGAATGTGATATCTCAGATTTCCATTGTGCAGACTGTCTTCGAATATGTTGGTGGGTTAAGAGACATGCTGAGATCTTAAGGGAATACTTTTAAGCACAATCTTGAAGTAATTGAATTAAATCACTCCTCCACACACCAAGTTTTCACAGAGAGAGCTAACAATAAATACACAAATATCTATGTAAGGGCTTCATTAATATCACTCACATTTGGAGTTTTTTTTTTTTTCAGTCATCTCCAAATGCCACTGATTTTCTATAGCAAGCCTTTCCAACTTCCTGACAGCTAGGACAGCAGATTCTGCTAAGGCAGTTTACTTGAAAGGCTGAATGGTAAAAATACCTTACAATATTACGTACTGGCAGAAAAACTACCTTGTGGGTAGCAGGGACTGTCCCTGTGACTACAGTTCATCCTGGAAGCTACCAAGAGAACAGCTCTAAGTTCCAAGACAGGGACATGGACTACATTTTTAGGGATGGGTAACTGAAACAAAGGGCCAGGATTCCCAAAGCATTCATGGGATCTTCAGGGCATACCTGCCTTTGTGGATCTGGCTTTATATAACTTTGTTGCAGTTAAATGAGAAGGCAGAGCATAGCTGGACCCACTGTCATCTGAGACATTCAAGAAGAGAGAGTTTCAATTAGTCCTGACACGGAAACAGTGATTTCTCAGCTACTTCACCCCTACAAACTTCAGAAATGTAGCAAAAAGAAGGACAGAGGTCCAGCTATGGTTTCCATAAAAGGAAAGACTATGATTTACTGGACAGCAGAGCCTCTCCTAGCCAGATGGGACACTGGACCACAGAACAAATGAGAGAGCATCCCATTCACTGCTTTAGGAATGACATGCGATTTTAGCTTGGTTAAAAGGAATTTTAGGCAACTATCATTGCCAAATTTGAAGAGATTCTGGTTTCCAAAGGAAACCAAACCACTGTCAAGTGGTCTGAAAATATGACAAGAGCTATGAGTGATATCCAACCTGGATGCATGGCTACACCCTGTTCCTACCCTCAGCACCACTGAGAGGCAAGGAAAGCTAGGTAGGAGAGAAAGGCACTCTCCCTATGTTCTCCTGCACCATGAACTCTGAGGGCCTTGGCTGAGGCTTCTGGCTTGTGGCCTGTAGAAAGGGGAGCATCTGAGATGGTAAGCCCAGCTCCTTCCTATCAGCAGCACCTCTGAGGGCTGCTCACACATACTTGCAAGCCTTCCTGAGTACCCAAGATGCCACTATTCCCTGCCATTTCTCATTGGTGCTCCAGTGTTTCCAGGGTGTCTATATACCAGTGTGTTAGGGGCATTTGATCAGGATGGACACACATAGCTTCAAGGTTTCATAGCCACCAAGAACAGGCCATAGTGTTCTTCAGTACCTACAGTGTGTGGTTGGTGGGAAAGAGCTACAGCACATGGTGCAGCAACAACTGTGCTTCAGCACCTGGAGACCAGACCAGAGAACAAACAGGGAGTCAGAATTGTGCAGGTGGGAAGGGATCTCTTGACATCTGTAGTCCAACTCCCTGCTCAAGGCGTGGCCAACTAGACCAGTATTGTCCCAGACTTGACTCAGAAAATCAAGATGTTTTTTGGCTTTAATCCTCTGTACCAGTGTATTTCTTCTGTGCTCAGTGCTTATTTTTTTCTTTGCTTGCCATGTGAGTGCTGTTCTACCTGGACTGCGAGCTGGCTTGCCTCAGCACTTAACTATTTTGAAATCTGTGAGAGGGGAGGATGGCTGAAATGTCATAGAAAAGAGAAGGTCCCATGATTTGCTTGGGATCCCTGAAGCAGTTTCATTTCTTTCCTCTGTCAGAAGTTTCCTGCAGAGCCACAGACACCCCCCAATGGATATCCACTGCACAGAACAGGATTCATCTAGTCTAACATTCTACTTTCAAGATGGAGTTCTATCATAAGCTCTCTTTATAGCCTACGGAGAAAGATCACAGCTCCAGACAACACTGCATCCCATCTTAAACTGGGTATTTCGTTTGGGTGGTTTGGCCCATCTTTAGCCTCTTCCTTTCTGAGCCTCCCATGGGAAAGGAATAGCC